TTACAACTTTCTGGTGGAAATAAGTCCAATATCTCATCCATGTCACCAATGACAGGATTTATGTCGCCAAGAATTGCTTCACCAATGCATCCTAGTGGGTAAGTAACATTTATTATTATATCTTACTTTTTAATAATTCTCAAAAGTTATATTTTGTGTTTATATTTATATTACAAATTAACAAGTAATATTTTATTTATAAATTTATATTTTCATTCATATTTTTTATTTTTTAGTGGTGGTTTCGGAAGAGGTGGAGGTGGAAGAGGAAGAGGTCGCGGCGGTGGAGCTAGACGTGATAGAGAATTGATAGGAACTACTATCAAAATAACAGGCGGACCATACAAAGGAAACGTTGGAATAGTGAAAGATGCTATAGATACAACTGCTCGTGTAGAGTTACATTCTACTTGTCAAACCATTTCTGTAGACAGGTCTCATATTGCAAATGTTGCAGTACTTACAAAAGATGGTGGTTTCAGCAGTTATAATAGGACACCAGCATATGGTGGCGGACAGACACCAATGTATGCCAGGGATGGATCTAAGACTCCTATGCATGGTTCTCAAACACCTATGTACGAAAGTAAGTTTTTGAAGCAATTGTATAAGTATATGATTAAATCACGACTAATTAAAGTTAATATGGCTAAATTAACTTTAATTAATCTAATTTTAAATCTAATTTTTAATAGATGGTTCTCGTACACCTCATTACGGTTCGATGACACCATCTCACGATGGTTCACGTACACCTGGACAATCTGGAGCTTGGGATCCAGCTGTTACTAATACTCCTGCAAGAACAAATGATTTTGATGGATATAGTATGGAAGAAGGCGGATCTCCAGGTTATGCACCAGGATATCCTCCCACAGGTGGACCATTTACGCCACAAACGCCTGGAACAATGTATGGTTCAGAGCAGAGCTTCAGCTCGTATCAACCAAGTCCGAGTCCGGCAGGAAGTGCTACTGCAAGTCCTAGTCCTGCGGGATATGTTGCTACTCCTTCACCAAGTGGTACTGGTTATACCACTAGTCCTCATGGAGCTTTTGCTACGCCTTCACCGATGGGTTATAGTCCTATGACTCCTGGTAAGTATTTTTTTTAATTATTTTTTTTTTTATATTATAGTTAGAGTATCTATTACATTATTATTTTATTTTTTAGGAGTAGCAGGTAGTCCGTACAATCCACAAACACCAGGCGCTGGTTTGGATACTGGCGTTGGTGCTGGAGTCATTGGAGGAACTGAATGGCATACCACGGATATTGAAGTTAGAATCCGTGATTCTCACCAGGATCCTGCATTGGCGGGTCAGCAAGGTGTTATTAGAGGAATATCTGTAAGTGATACCATTTTATGGTAAAAAATTGAAGAAATTAATCAAATAATGGAATCAGAAAATACAATCGATCAAAAAATTTTTAATGCCTAAAACAGGTGGGATGTGTGCAGTCTTCCTACCCGTAGAAGATAGAGTAGTGAACTTGGTTTGTGAAGAGCTAGAACCAGTAGTTCCATCGCGGGGGGATCGCGTCAAAGTAATTATTGGAGAAGACAGAGAAGCGGTGGGAACTCTACTCTCCATAGATAATCAAGAAGGTGTGGTGAAATTGAATAAAGACGAAGTGAAGATGTTGCATTTGCGATTTTTATGTAAGATGAAGGCACCGAATACATAATTCTTCATTCCAAGGCAATCTTCTAAACTTGAAAAAGCTAACACTCGCATGGATACGGGTAAAAAAATTATAGGAACAATAGATCTTTTAGATCCAAATATTTCTATCTCGAAAAAAGAATTATCCTAAGAATTCTTATTTACTTTCTAATTTCTAAATAATTAACTGAAATATACTTTCTAATATAATATACTAAAATATATTATTTCATAAAATTCTTTATCAAATAGTTATTTAAATAGTTTTTTAAATAATTATTTAAAAGTTTTTTATTTTTAGGAATCATCCCTCCTAAAAAGTTTTGTATATTCTATATATTTATTTTTCTTAAACTTTGCTTACTGTCTGCACTTATTATATTTTTGACAATATTTAATGGTTTCTCTATAGCACATTTTTCCTTTTTTTTTTTTTGCTTTTTTCGCATGTATGCTTTATTTCGTGTGCTTGTAAGCTTCAATTATAGAATTTTGTTTCTGTTTCAATTATTATTGCTTATATTAAAATTAATTTGTAGATTAATTGTAGTCTTTTCTCCAACTCATATTTTTTAATTCTAGTATTTTCTGATTTCTGATTAATTCTGTCGCCAAATTTTCTGAAAATTTTTTTCCTCTCATTTTTTTCGCATTATAATACTAGAATTTTTTTTTCTCTATTTCAATTTCAAACTTTTTTTTCGATTTTAATAATTTTTTTAGTTGAAGTACACTAAACTTTACATATTTCATGAAAAATGATGATTCAAAATAATTATCGAATTATATGCAACTGAAGCTGAATGCTAATTGAAGAATTATTTTATCACAAAAAAAAATTTGGCTGATAAAATTTTCCTCGATCCTCGAAAGAAAAAGCCCGCTAAGGACCGTGCGAGTGTTGCAAAGATTTAATGCGCTTGAGGAATTCGAAAGATTTTTAACAAGAATTGTTCAAACAACGTAACAATGATTTTACGTTGTACTTGTTATGTTTAAAATAGCAATCAAATTATTTAAAATAAATACATATTATTATTGTGAACTAGTAAAATGACTTTCCTTAAATAAGATAATTTTAACTTTTTGCAAGATAAAAAAAAGCTCAACGATTTGTATAAAATACTTCATGAATTGTTTTATGATGTAAAGTTGTATTTTGATGTAAATACAACAAGAAAGTTAAAAAAAAATTTAATTATTGATTTAATTTTTCTTTCAATGAAAACAAAATCGAAGTAATTACCTATTAAGAATTTATATACTTAAAATTGTGCACTAATCATTTATGACGATTCATTGATCTGAAATCAGTTGCATAAGAAACGAGAGAAAGTCGTGGCGAGATGATTAGGGAACACTCAAGAGCTCGGTATAAATTTTCCAAGGGAAATTTTTTCAAGGCAAAGTCGTATTAATCGGGATTTACCGATTGGAGTATGAGATCATGCTTCCTATGGTTCTTTCGGGTATTTGTAGCAACTACTCTCGTTAATATAGAAAGGTATATAAGATTATAAATATTAACATCATATTTATTTTATTCATTTTATGTTATTTTATAATTAATATAATATAGAAAAATAGAGAAAGAATAATTAATTAATAATATAAAGCTAAGAATAATATGTTTTAAATAATATATAATTTCTTTAGTTACTATTATTATGTGTGAATGTAGGGTGATGGGTTTTATTTTCAAACATGAACAAAATATTGGCACGGTTTTATTTGACAAAAGTGATGCTACTAAACATTGTTGGACCACAGAGGAATTTATTATCTTGAATAGTCGACGAATGTTTCAAGATTTGTTACCAAAGGTAAATACGCGTTAACCTTATTTTATTCATTAAGCTTTAATAAATAGGATTAAATTATAGATTTAATTAATTTTTCTATCTTATGCATTTTAGTTCATTATTAAGTTTTTTATTAATCTTCATTCTTTATTTATATTGTTACATTCACAAATTTTTCATACTTTTTATTTATTCTTTATCTATTTAATTACTTAATTTAATTATCTATTTAATTATTTAATTTGCAAGCAATTAGTTTACAAATAATATTTTATTTTATCTTTTTAAATTAATCTTTTAATAATAAATTTAAGAAATTTAAAGTTCTTTCACAGATAAGATAGTTTGTTTTTACAAAATTATTTTATTTATCATTCTTATTTTATCTTAATTTCTTGAGAGTATTTGAAGTGTTTTTTTTTGTTTTTCTTTAATTTTAGCACGATTTTAAAAGATACAAACATATATTGTATTTTTTAAAATATACATGATGATTTTATGCGTGCATTATTTTTTTTAAACATTCCAAAATGTATTTCAATTTCATTTAAATAAATATAATTAAAAAATAAACAATAAATATTCTTTTCTAACCTTGATAAGTTTTTTCTACAATATAATAAATTTTTTCTCAAACATAATAAAAAATTGCCATATTAAAAACAAGTTATTTAAATTTATCGAATTGTCTCTTAATATTTTAACTTTCCATTCCATCTCCTTTAAAAAAGCTCGAAATCGTTCCATCATTGATTCACGCATTCATCCCCATACTCATCCCCATTTACTCTGATTCCTCAGGTGAAAGTTTTAAATTGTGAGAACGATGAGTACATCGCTCTGTTGATGGATTACTTTCACGTTTGTTTCGAGAGCGTGCGTAAGCTATCGATAGGAAAAACGAAGCATCTAATGTTGAAAGCTCTGGCGGACACAATAGGTGGCTACTTGCAAGTTTACATCCTGCCCCTCACCAAACATTCCTATTATGCGGGGAATATAAAATACCGAAACGCGAGAAAGCTGTTCGAGCTGCACGAGCAATTGAAGATTTTCTTACGGACTGATGGAAATGGCTGGCTGTACTCTTGCAAAGATATAAAACAGGCGAAAATCCAACCGATAATGATCACAGCGCCGAAATCGTTGATCGCGTGCGAAGGCCTTATTACCTATTCTGCATGTAAGAAAATGGCTATTACCTTTTCTAAAAGGGTAACATGTATTTATAGATATTTTAGATGATAATTGTCTCGATGGAAAATCCAGGGAAAATGGTTTTGTTTGATATTGAGAATGGATTAATTGCGAGAATATTGAATGTTGGAGTAAAGTTTTTTTGTGAATGCAAGAATTGAAATAATTTGAAAGATTATTCGTTCATATATAAGGATTAAAATTAATTTTTTTTCTTTACGTAAATATATACAATTTTATTTTTATTCATTATTTATATTTAGATAAGTAATAAATTTATATATTTATAATAAGAACAACAATATTTTTGATTATTTTGTATAACTAGAATTAATTTTTATATTATGTAAATTTAATTCTAATTTGTAATTTATTTTATCCTATCATTCGTTTATTAGCTGCAATTGGATTCAATAAACGAGACGTAAAACGTTTCACATTCAAACAGAAAAAGAAACATTTGAAACACAAAAACAGAAGTAAAAATTCTAGTAAGTTTGTGAGGATAAAATGTAATTTCAATTTAAAAAAATATTTTTAATATTAAATGTAATGTATCCTTATATCATTTAAAGGACACAAACATGAGTCTGCAGAAGAGGAATCGATTATCATCCCTCTTCCCTTTCTGGACGATGATGTACAGCCAAATAGGTATCGGTCTCGAACCATATTTGTTCAATGAGCAACACGGACGACGTTAAAATGGAATTTTTTTTTTCAGTATCGCTTTACCATTTAAGAAAGATACCTTGCAGTCCATGTACAGTGAACGATCGACTTTTGCATTGGTTAAATACTACATAGCTAGCGTGAAGTGCATCACTGCGAAGTCGAAAGAAAAAACTGATCTGGATAATTTTAATCAGGATTTTTACGATTGGCTGCAGCAATCCGTACGTTGTGAGTCGCTGTGATCGAGAGTGGCAATTTTTCTTAAATATCCCATTTGCGAGAACTTTAGTTTAAGTACATACAAGAAATCTCTTTGCACAAAATATTATAACAATAATAATATTTTACATGTTACAAGTGATACTAACGAAATTTTATTTGCATGATATTAACAAATTTAATAACAAAATTTTAAATCATCTAATTATTCTATTTTGCATAAAATGTAAGAAAAGAAAGTTTGAATTAACTTTTATCAATTTATTAATCAGTGGATTATTATGTGCAAAAAGACTTAGGTCACTCAAAAAATTCATAATTAGTATATTTTTTTCTTTTTTTTTTTTTTCTTAATTGAATGAATATTATTTTTTTCTAAAATTCACATTTTATTCCATTTCACATTATTCAAATTTATCATCAGACAATTTTCATCATCTTTCCAGGTTGTACGACATCTCGATGATGAAAAATGGTATCCAGCGTTTGGTGGCGTACTGAGGGTGATAACCTCATTGGAGGACGCTGGTACGATACTTTTCCTTATTTGCAATTTTCCAACGTACGACATTCTTGTAATTCATCGTTTTTCCATGTCAGGTGCGGGTCTCGCGAAAGGAAGAAAAAGCGGTACCTATCAAGTGATGCCCAAATTAGGCTCGTCATCGACTGCAATGCCGGAAGATGTGTCACCTTTGTATAAAGGTGAGAAAGGAAAGTAGTGCACCACTCCAATTATTATTTAATTTTCTATGATCTATGCTCTCTAACGTTGTCAATTTTCTTTTCTTGGTTTAGAAGAGGAAACGGAAGTCACGCTTGGTACGACAGAATTAATATCGATTGCCGTAGTGAGCGCATTGTTGGTATGGTTACTAGTGGGACTGAGCTTGGTCTGCTACAGATTTCTCATAAGAAACTCGGATGAATGTGTCCCGTGTGAACCTGATCCTGCGTATGTTTTAATGAATTTTTTAAAGATTATAAAGAAAAAGCAATATAAAATAATATTTAATAAATAATAATAATATATTGAATATTTTGAAAATACTTTTTAATATTCAATATGTTGTTAATATGTTGATTATATGTCAAGTTATTTATTATGTTTTTTGAATTTTCTATTTCTATCATTAATATTTTAATAATTCAAAAAATATCAATTGTTGATATTTTGTAGATAAAAAATTATATCTTTGATTTTTTCTTTATAAATATTTTTTCTTATTTATAAATAAGTTCAGATTTTTTTCTATTAATATATATTTTATAACAAAATTATTTTTTTTTTGACTCACAAATTTTTTTTCTCTTATTTAATATAGAGTTGCTGTTTTGTACGAAAATAAAGATTACTGTGAACCCGACACGTGTACAAAAGCGTCTCGTAAAGGATATATAGTGAAGATAGTGGATTGTTTAAAAAACAGGTTTCATTGTAAAACTCGGGATCAATTAGACGAGGAACGTTGTTTAGCTGCAATTAGTTATACTAGTAAAGATACGATCGATGTTAGTAGTAGCAGAAGTTATCAGTAAGTAATTTATTATTGTTATTTTAAAATTTAATATTTTAATCATTTATTTTAAATGATTAATATATTATTATAAGATAATTGATAAAATAAAAATATTTTCTATTTTTTCTAAAATTTTTAAAATTTTTGTATTCTAACTACAAATAAAATAAAATATAATAATGATTAATTTTTTTTTATTTAAAATTTAAGATATACCTTTAAAATTTAAACATCAAATAATTGTATTTTTCATCCCTTTTCAGGAAAAGAAAAATAACTAAATCGGTTTCAGCGGCATTATCAAGTTACCGAAAGGAACGTGTACCCGTCAGGGTATGTAATTTAATAAAAATTTCTTTAACAATATGACAATATATATAAAAAATAATCGTAAATTTATTTGAATTTGTGCAGAAAGTATATTATAGCTCAGATGGCTCGTTAACCACGGAGAGTGTTTGCAAACAGAGATAATAAGAAACTACAAGTTTTCATTTATCTTTTAATATCTATACATTTTTTAGTATGTATGATGTAATAAATACTGTCAATTACAAATAAAATCTTTTTTTTACTACTTTAAAAATAGTCAAATTTTGATTAAACATCTATTTCGCCAATAATTGCTACAAAGTTTTAAACAATATAAAATATTCAAAAAAATAATTTTTATTCTTATAAAATCCTTTATTTATAAAAAGTTATTTGATATACATTATTAATGAAAAATTTTTTCATAACAAATTCTAGTATTAAAAAAGTAAATCTATCAGTAAATCTACTAACACCAGCCGATTTATTGCAGAGATCGCGAAACGGCCGTTTTAATTTTATTACAACCGCGTTCGACAGAGATGGCTCGCAGTCGATTGCGTTTCGTTATGCCGTTCGCGTACGTGCGGAGTGCATTCAATGAATGCACGTTTCCGAAGCGTGCAGTTCAGAAGCCACGCGCTGCAACTTGTTGCAACCGGGTCGTGGAACCAAATGCCGGCATCTTCTGGTTTATCAAACGCGTTGCAACAGCAGCGCCATCTGGTCTCTAGTAAGCGTGGTGACTCCGGCAAGCAAGGAAGCCAGTGTCGTGCGATACGTTGAGGGGTAAAGGTGTTTTGTGTCATTCCATTGATATATTCACGAGTCTGTACTGTCATAAGTGTTTAAAAATAGTAAATAGTAGTAAATATCTCATACCGGATGTGATATGCGTGAACATTATTACGTATTTTGTTACTCAAGCTTGAAAATATTCGTTGTCGAATAATTTAACAATCGAATCGTTTCGAATTTTTCGTTATACGTGAAGACACGTGTGACAAAAGTCCGTTCCTTTGTTTTTATACGGTTAAATCCGAATAATCGTGCTTTGAAATTTGCAGTAGTGTAAGAAAACGAATATAAAAAGACAAGAATAAATCTATGACGTTAACAAAATTTCGGCGCGAAATTTCTCGTTCAGAATTTCATTGAAACGCGAACCGGAACGTTTCGCGCGTTCAAGAAATTTATTGGTCGATTTTAAAATGATCGATCGAATTCATCGATAGATGTCGCCCCTGAAGTTTAAGTGAACCGGCTATTTGAGATTCATGGAGTCGGGAGAAATTTTCGAATTTACGTTTCGATTGAACAGAATGAGATTTTAGATTCCGCGTTATTGTATACTTAAACAAAACAAATCGAGATTAACTGATCGATTTCGTGGAACAGTTAGTTTTGTGAATTCGAGGGTAGGAAAAAGTGCGGGAATGTGTCACAATTGACATTCTTGAATCGAAATACATCGATACGGTTAGAACTAGTTTCGATTAGTGAACAATGCGCACTGCGGATAAATACTCGACTTGCGTTTCGCGTGTTCGTAATTGACTGTGGTGTTGAAGTGTGTTCTCCTCTTTAAGGACATGATGGGACGCCAAAGCTGCGGTAAACTGTGCTTTCTGTTCGTCGTGCTACTTCTCGCAGCTGCATTAAAAGGTGAGTGACATTCTTTTTTTTTCATTTTTCTGAAAAGCTTTCGAAGTGTCATCACTTTGAACATTAAGAATAAAATGTCATATATATATATATATTAATTATACCATATACAATGAAAAATAAGAAATATGAAATAATTTTCTTTTAAAAGGAATTATTTTTTATATTGTTCAATTCGTTAGAGATATAATGTCATATCTTTAAGATCGATAAATAATCGAAATAATTGATATTCGATTATTATTAGGCGCCATATTGTTAGTTAAATTAGTAATCATAATTTTTTCGTAAATTTCGATATAAATTTCGTATATTAATTCTTGTAATATTCGAATATTATTATGAAATATAAAAGATTTGGTAAATTTAACGGTTAGATTTTATTACAGAGGGAAAATATGACAAGTTTCAGAATAGAAATGATATATTTTCTTTATAATATAAATACAAAATATTTCAAAGCATATGATAATTGTGTACACTTTTTATAAAAGGACCAGTCGTTAGAACGTATCGTTTATATTGAAAAGTGACGAGAAACGTAATAAGAATAGGAAGCCTAAACACATATTTATATAGGTTGTATTTGTATCAAGGGAATCACGATGCAGTCTGAATTCTATTGTTTTTCAAATCCGTTCCGAATACTAATGTTACATTTATTATTATGTTACTTTCTGATAATGAATGAAGAATAGGAATTATTTTTTATATAATATTCAATTTTTCTTTTATTATAAATAACGAAAATAACCAATGTCTTTTTATTATAAGGTTTTCGTTACTCCTTTTTCTTTCTCTTGAGATTCTAATAAAAAAAAAAAAATAGTTTGCATCAAATTTCTGTTATGAAATTTATACTTTCTAGTTGATTCGATATCTACATTCGATAAAATTTTTCTATATAATTACCTACAGATAACAATTATAAGAATCGTATTATAACGAACAGTGAATATTGCCCTGTAATAAGACATTGATACTATTTTTCCTAGTTTTCACATAAAAAAAAAAAGCAAAAAAGAATTAGCTAGAATCGTTAGGATTCTAAATTCTAAATCGAATCAATTCGAATCTTTTTTACACGAGCAAACAGAAACGAACAGGATTTTATTTTACAACGCCGTCCCATGCAAAACTTTTCGACCAAATCGAATTGCAAACCATGCATATCTAACGAATCCAAAGAGAATTAAAGGGAGAGGGGAGGGGAAAAAAGAGCAGAATATTTACGTCTCCTCGAAAATAAATACCAATACGTGCCTCGAAATGCGAGTTCTCGCATTTCCCAGCCGCATGACCGTTTTTCACCGTAGGAAAAAAAAGGAATGGGGATAGGAACAGAGGGAGAGAGAGAAAAGGCAAAGCTTGTGCCGAAATTCGAATGGAAAAACGTCGACGCGGGGTTCATTTCGGCCTGGCCGTCGTTTCGAATCCCATTCCAAAGTTCGATCTCATTCTGGACACGCGTGATCCGGATTAGAAACGTCCATTCCCCTTGTTTTAGATAATCCGCCTTGTTTTGTTTCGTGTGAAAATACGAAAATCGAAGATGAGTCTGCGAGATATCATGCAAATTTCTTATTTCTTTTTTTTTTTTTACGTACCTGTTATACCCTTTTTCTTCGTTTTCTCTTTTTCGTTTGGGTTCTTCAATTTTTTTTTAAATTATTGAGAGGGAAAAGAGGAAGAGGACGTGGAATTTAGAATTATTCGTAAATGATTTAACAATTAATTTTTCTTATCATAATATTCTATATTTCGCACTACTATTAGTGAGAAACTTTTATAATTTTATTTAAAACTGAGAAATGATTTATAAAAATTACGCACGATACGAATAATCCACGTAATTTAATTATTCTATATATTTTTCTGTAATTAATAGTTTAAATCCGAGGAAAACTCGCAAGATTTTTGCTTTATTATTATATATCAGTTAAAATTTATATTTTTTCTTCTTTTTTTTTAAAATTTCTCTTAATATTACAAAAGATTAATATTTTTATAATTATTGTATTCCTTCAATTGAAATAAATTTTGTCTATAAGTCGTACATGTTCACGTATCCACAGGAATTTTAAAATTATAATTCAAAAAGAATGTTTAGAACGCACACTCGTATTAGTATTCGTTACTATTAAAACAAATCTGTTACTTATTACTCACAATATTTGCACAAATATCGTCTCATACGTTTATTTCTTAACCCTTCTTCAACTATCATATCGAAATCTTCTTCACCCACTTTATAGTAATATAAAGTACCTGTACAACCCAGCGTGCAGTTGATATCTTCTACACAGGAAAAACGCTAGAAAGGAGCTATAAAGATTTGCATACATCAATCGTACCCTTTTCTCCAAAGCGACACGTGTACCGGAAAATATCTGGGTGGCCACTTTAGACTTACATTCCGCTTTATAAACATTCAACAAGTGGCAACGGGGTCCATCGACTCGTGGAACTTCTCAGTTCCCCGACTATTCCTTTAAAAATCGATCGAACTGCATAAGTATTCCCCCGCGGAACGAAAGAACCAACTTTCGATGTTTAGTTTGCCGGATTAAACGAGATTCTTTCCAAGTATTGGCCCCCCCCTCCCTAGTTGGCGAAATCGATTGCGAATTCAGCGTGCTAGAATTTTTTCTACCGTTTTATCATCACCAACTTTTCACGTTAATCCACGATCCTCGTCTTCTGGGATGGATGGCGGGGCAGGGGGAGGATTCGTGGAGCGAAATTTAATTTAGTGGAAGCTTTTCGATGTAGTTTCTTATTTCTACTTTCCTCGAGTTTCAAGGAAGCACGAGTTTGGGAAGGAAAGTTTCCAAAGCAAAGTGTGCTAGGTGACGTATTAAATTTTTTCCATGGGACATTTTTTGATCGAGTTAGAGAGGGATTAGATATTAGCTATGTTATAAAATACGAGCTTCGTTAGCTTATAATAAATATTTAGTTTTTCTAGTGTTAAATACTACTTAGTTTGTATTGCAATAATGATTTTCAATGTTTCTTTTGTGTTGATAAATTTCTCACGTACTCTATATTCCAAAAATTTTCCAAATGATCTCGTGATAAGAAACCTTCTTCCCTTCTTCGAGCGAGAATTTAACACGAGTGAGGAGACGTATTTAACGAGGCAAAGTGGCCCGGCAAAGCAGCAGCAATAAAACGTGAATTTTCCGCTTGCTGAAACGTTCGAAACAACGGGGAGGGCTTCATAAAAATTTGAATGCAATTCACTCGCGAGCAATTTTCACCCGCTTTTTTCCCAACGAAAATTTCTCCCCCGAAAGACGAATAGATAGAAATCGATTCCACCGTTTATATTTATTACCCGTTTGTCGTTTCGCTATTCTAATTTCAACTGGACACCCGACCTGTAATTACGGGCATTTAAAAGCTTTGGCGACGTGTACTTTAGTTTGCAAACAATTCAAACGCGGCCGGGGCCCGTAAGCCGAATTAATGGGCTCACTTTTAATTACCAGTCCACGCGCGGCCATTGTTCCATCCCTCCCTCTCCCCTCCCCTCGTTTAGTTTAATTGTTCGTAACGATTAATCCTCCCGTATTTTTTATTCCGACCTGAGCTCGCAAGTTCGTACTTCTTCCTGTCCTTCCTCCACTCTCTATCCCCTTGTGCAAGTCGTCGTGAAAATTGGACGAGGGATTTTTTTTTTTTTTAACGTAGAGAAAGAAATATATAACACGTGCACGTAATAAGATTTTGGGGAGAGTTTGTTATTTAAGGGTTGAAAGAGATTAGATGGCGTGTTACATCGTTTTGGGCCTTTTTCTTTTTTTTTTTTCTTATTTGGGAAGTGAAGGGAATTTAAAGTTTCGTGGAAGGGAGGAGAATATTTGGAATTTATGGGGGAGGACGTATTAACGTATTTTTGATTTTTTTTTTTTGCGCAAAAGTTAGAGGAAATTAGAGGGAGTCTCGAGGGTTTTAATTTAGGGAATTTCCGCAATTTGCAATGAAATGTAGAAATAATATATAGGTATTATTCGCGTGTGAGGGGAATTTTACGCCGAATAAAAGTAATACAAAGATAATAGGGAATAGAAAGTTGCATGAAATAATGATGAGATGGAATAATGCCAGGTGGAATAGGAAGGAAGGATAGAACTGAGTGTATTTTAATTATTACGAATTATTCAAATGTCCGTCAAATATTATTTTACTCGATACTGCACAATGTGACAAGGTATTAAAACATCGTATAATCTTATTACTAGAATCTTTGTCTTAGAGTCAAGTTACGACATTCTTCTCTGTTTCCTCCGACAAGCTTAGAATCGAAGTTAAAATATACTTTATGTGAACCTGATTACAGTTTGCTGCCCTCTCGATACGGGCAATCCTTTAGGCTACTGTGTATACATTTGTCATGAATAAAATATCAATCTTATATACTCGGTGCAGAACGTAACTTTCTATATTGGCCAACTGTGGATGAACTACAAAAAAAAAAAATAATAGAACTTGCTGTCTTGCTTCGATGATAAACGGCAATAAAATATAATTTTATTAATAATTTTTGTTAAGAAAAAAAGGAAAAATTAATTCAAGAAAATAAATCAAATAGAATTTAATTTCATTAAATTATTCGTTAAAATATTAAAGTCATGAACGTTTATATCGATTTGCCGCGAACAGATTCCTCAATAGATATTGCCTTCCTCCATAGTATAACATATAAATCCCATTCCCGAAGTTTAACCCTTTGCGCTCCAAGGGTGACTCTCAGGCATCATTTGCATTGATGCAGCAATTCGAACAACGACAATATTTATTTATGTTTGATTTTTTTAAAATATCGTTTCATGAAAGATTCTTAAGCTCTTTAAATGTGCATGGAAGCATGGAATATTGTAATGAAATTAGTGAATATGAGTTTGATTTTTCGTTATTAAAAATAAAGATATAGTATAAGAAGAATAATAGACGATAAATGAGAGTATGTTATTGGGTTTGTAACGATATTTTAT